CCTTTGGCACATCAAGACACCGGTTTCCCTGTTGGATCAACGACGTTTTCCAAGGCGGAACATTCGCGTGATTTTCCTACAGTTCCGGTCCCACTTTAACTTTAACTTTTCGTCACTAGCTTCTGATCCGGTTACCCCCACTGGTAAGCCGGCGGCTGTTGACCACGGTAAAACCCCAACTACCAAGACTTATGCATCCGTAGCGAAAGAATGTGCGCCACTGCCCTTGCCAGTACGAGTGATTGAAAGTAAGGACAAGACAGATGTCAAGGTGAAACGCAAACCATTGTCTTCACAATCGCAGTTGAAGCTAGTTCTGGATAGAGTCGGTCAGCTGGAAAAACTGCTTACTGAGCGTCCACCTCCCCACAAGTCGCAGCTCCCCGATAACAACAAATCACCTCGTGGCCGTTGCCTAATCATCATAAATGCTCCTGAGTCGTCCAAAACCACTCCAGCTGAAAGGATTATGGATGATCAAGAGTTTCTAAAACGGATGATCTTACTGCGCGACAAAGATGAGCCAGGAATCAACATCGTCTACGCTTTCCGCCTTGGCAAGAAACAGGAGAACTCCTCTAAGCTTCGGCCCTTGAAGACTGTATGTCAAAACGAACACGAAGTCCGTCGCATTCTCCGAACCATTTTTCCTACTACGATACCTCTCTCCGGAGGATCGAGTAAAAATGAAGAAAGCGGTTGATGAACTCGTTGTGATAACGGTGAGACGGACCTACATATCGTGGACTTTCGCGTACTTCGAAAAACGCAAAGAACTCGTTGGAGACCACTCCTTATCATGCCCGGGAGTTGAAGAACGGACTGCGCGTAATTTCTTCCAATGTGCGCAGTCTCAGAAACAAACTAGACGAAGTGTAGCTTCTTGCCTCCATGAATCGGCCGGATCTGTTAGTTTTCACCGAAACCTGGTTGTCCCCGGATATCCTGGACTCGGAAGTGCAGATCCCTGGATACCACCTTTGCCGGGCAGACCGCCATGGAGGTAGGCCTGAGGGCGGTGTGATACTCTTTTGGAAGACGGACTTCAAGACTCATCTGGTTGAAGCTACCTGTGGCAGCGATGGCGACTTCGAAACTCTGGTGTCGTGTTCATGACGGACGCAGATCTCTCATGGTCGGTGTTGTCTACAGGGCCCTATTGGGTTCCGGAGATTGCCTGCTGGACGCGATCAAAATTCACGGTGGAGGCAAGGACTGCTTATTACTGAGTGACTTCAACGCCCCAAGTATCGACTGGGACCAACTGCATTGTGTTCCCTCTTCAAACGCTTTTGATTTCGCTCTTTTAGAGACGGTTATCGAATGTAACTTATTCCAACATGTCACAATGCCTACTGGTATATTTGGGGACAAACACCACATATTCTTGACCTTGTACTCTCACCGGCACAATCAGATGTCACCGGCCTAGCCGTTCTCCAACCCACTGGTAACAGCGATCACTGTGTGGTTTCATTCCTCTGGACTCGACGCCTTACTCTCCACAACCAAGGTCGCTTTCGCAGAAATTTCTGGCGTGTTGATCCCCAAGGCCTACAAACGGCCGCCAGTACTGTGGACTGGAGTATACCCGAACCCCTGGATCTGGACGATGAGTGGAACCTCTTGTACTCCAGAATGATTTCGCTCGTTGAGCAGGTCGTTCTTGTCTACAAAAGACCTTTTGTCAGAAGTCCTCCATGGATTGATCGAGAACTGAGGGGCCTAATGAACAAACGACGGAAACTGTGGGTCCGATTCAAGCTCACACAATCCGAGTCTGACTACTCTGAATATAAAGTGGCCAGGAATATCTGCAACTTGAAATAACGTGAGAAACGGCATAAGTATGAACTCGGTTTGGTTGTGCAATCTAAGACGACTCCCAAGGCACTCTTCTCTTATTTGAAGAGAAGTACCAGAGCAGGCAGTGATATTCCTGCTCTGTATTCCTTGGCACCTGGACGGTTTACTTGACGATGACGCTACGAAAGCCGGTCTCCTGGCTATGCAATATTCATCTGTTTACTCGATGGAGACGCCGTTTCCCAGTAACGCGGTGCCAAAACTCCCTTCTTCGTTGGAGCATGTAGAAATGAGCGCTGATGTCGTTGCCAAAGGCATTCGTGAATTAGATCCGAACTCCGGCGGGTCCTGATTGGGTTGCATCTGCTGTTCCTCAAGACTGGCCGATTACATTGCCGCTCTTGTTTGCCGAATATTTCGCCATTCTCTTGAAGTTGGACGGCTCCCGATTGCTTTGAAAGTGGGGATTGTTAAACCCATACACAAGAGGGGATCGTCAAAACCCTGCCAATTATCGACCCATCTGCTTAACATCAATATTGTGCAAGGTAATGGAATGGATTCTCAAGCGGGCATTTTTCCACCTCGAGAACCTAAACGTCATCTCTTGCGCGCAGCATGGTTTTCGGCGGGCACGCTCAGGTTCTTCGAACCTGCTTGTGGCCCGTGAAAGATGGGCGGTCATTAGACGCTGGGAAACTTCTGGATGTTATTTTTGTCGACTTCAGCAGGGCCTTTGACAAGGTTCCTCATGAAATGCTCCTTTATAAACTACGAGAAATAGGTGTTTCTGGGAACGTTCTCTCTTGGATCGCTGATTTTTTGGATGCCCGGACAATGCGAGTCGACGTGAACGAGACTTACTCCGCTCCTGTGCTCATGACTAGCGGTGTCCCACAGGGATCGGTCCTGGGCCCAGAACTTTTCAAGATCTTCATCAATGACCTCCCGGCGGAACTTCAGTTGGATTGCTTGATTTACGCTGACGACTTGAAGTTGTGGATGGAGGTATCCTGTCTGGACGATGCGGACCGATTACAGCCTACACTTGATACGTTACATAAGGGGTCAGTCAAATGGCGATTGTCCTAAATCGCGATAAGTGCTCGGTCCTCTCCATTGGTGCTCCTGAGCCTTTCGGGACGTACCACACTGGTGGGGCCTTGCTCAGAACTTCGATCCTTGAAAAAGACCTCGGCGTGTTAGTGTCATCTGATCTACGGACTACACAGGACACGTTACGAAGGGTTGATGCGGCCAACAGGATGTCCCATGCCATATGAAGAGCCTCGCGTTTGGCTCCGGATATCTTCAGACTCTTGTTTACTTCCCATGTCCGCCCCATTCTCGAACACGGATTACCTGCCGTCTTCCCTCACCAAGTTCGAATGTGACCTCATAGAGAAGATCCAACGGGGCTGGGATCGAAATACATCTTGGAGGTACGGGAATTGCCTTATCCCCTGAGACTTCAGCGGATGAACCTGTTCTCCCTGGATTATCGCCGACGTCGCGGTGACCTGATTTTCACCAGGCGCATCCTGAGAGGGGAGATGGGGGCGGAGCTGCAGGCGTGTTTTCAATTCATTACAAACAGTTCAACTCGAGGCCACAACTGGAAACTGTTTAAACCCAGAAGGCTCCGGGTTCATCCTGCTCTCGCTCTATCAACTTGCATAGTCAACGATTGGAACGAGTTACCGAGGCATGTGGTCGATGCCCAGACTGAGGAATGTTTCAAGTGAATGTTAGATTCTTATCTTTTGAGTACGATGGGTCCTTGCAGCTTCCACTGTAGCTGTCATGGTCCCTTGTAGATTACCGCATAACATCGAACCGCGGCCTTCACACAGTGATCGGGAAGCGATGGAGCTGACAAAGGACTTCTGCTCTCTACAATGCTATGATCCTATGGTCAGTGGGCTCAAGCCAACCGATCTGTTTGAACCAGCTACGTCAGACAACTTGCGGGGTTATGGCATGAAAATGAAGCATCATAAATCTAGCCTGGAGTTAAGAGCCAGGTTCTTATCAAACCGGGTTGTGCCTGTTTGGAATAAACTTTCTTCCGCTCTTTTAGTATGTAAAACTATGGAGGAATTTAAACGTAGCCTAGACAAACATTGGCTGGCCCTGTTTCCCGAATTTCCTTAAGCTTCAGTGACTGCCCCTAAGCTCATTATTACGTGACAGTGTTGTTCGTCTTGTACTGCTGTTTTTCCACCATTATAGAATTAAGAATATTCTATCAACTCGCAGTGCTGGGGGCTCTTTTTTGCTTATTGGCACACAAAACGGGACGCTCGTTCAGCGGCAGCTTGTTTCGTCCCTGGGTCCTATCCTCTCCCGACTGCGTGACCCGATTGTCAATGCGCAGTCAACAAGCGAGTTTCAAACGTTTGCTGGACATCTTCATACTGAGTACTCCAGGATCCTGCAGGATTGATAATACACCCTGAGCTGTGTCACGACTACTACGCCTGCAATCCTTTTAAGATTGGGAAGTGACGAAGCTGACACGGGACCTCCCTTCTGCTCTCTACCACTCAATGAACCTCATGCTGTACTCCAGAACACCATGCAGCTCAAATTCAAATGAACTAGCCATTGTGCAATCAAACGGTCCCCAACGAGCGCCCGATGAGTGAAAATTTTTGCCACTCGGGCGCCCATCGGACACCCAACGGGCGCTCGTTGGACACTGGTGCTGAGTGAATAAAAACCAAGGCGGATATAATTCTTGGGTCCTCGTTTAAAGTGTCAAATGAAGCTTGCGGCAGTTCCACCAGTTAAAGGTCCGTTACTTACTAATCTGATGGTATGCAGTGTGATGTTTGCTCTTGCTGGTATCACAAAAGTTGTACCTGCCTCCGAACGATTCAGTACAAAATGCCATCATCCAGTGAACATTTTATTTTTAAGTGTGCTGAATGCTTTACTCCGAAAGTGAAGCGCCCGACTATCACCTGTGCTGAATTCAAAGCACTGGCATCCAAGTTCACAGTTGTTGAGAAGGCGTTAGCCGACCTTGCCTTTCTTGTCTCGATTAACACTAACGTGGATTTGATTATGAAATACCTGAACATTGCGAATGAGGACGCTGTAGCGGACTGTCCCCCCTGCTGACAGTCCCTCAGTTGATGGGTCGTTCATCCTATCGGACGCTCCAGTTCACAAAGAGATAACAGACTCGGATGTCTCGGACGGCGTTGTTGACCCCCAATGGAAGACGAGTTACGGGCTCCTGGGCCAGCAAAAAAATAAGCGAAGAAAAGGCAAGAAAGGCGCGCAAACCCTCCGCCCCCAAACCGGGGGTTGAGAAAACGCCCAAGATGAAAGCGCCTAAGCTGGAAACATCGCATGTTGCTAAAATTCCGTCAGCTTCATCTAAGGCTATGCAGGCAGGGGGTGAAAAACATCGGATCTCCCCATCACTTGTTAAGGAAAATGCGGAGGTGCCTTTTCTAAACACCTCACCCTGTCTTTCGGGGGTGCAGGTCGTGGAGATGGGCATCGACGTTGAACCACGGGCTTCGCCTGTAGAACGAAAAGATAATCTGAACAGAACTGCCTGTACTCTTCAGGCTAGTAAGAAAAGCGTCAGGAATGATGTCAAACAAGCTCAAGCATAAGACTTACGCTACAGCTGCTTCGGCGTCGTCTGATGACGTGCGCTCAATCTCATTGCCTGCGGCTAAGCCGGCTGCTGTTCGTGTAAATTCAAAAACTCATGGAGTCAATTCACCCCGTCGAGATGGTTCTTTCATGGATAGCAGCGTGATATTCCGTAACAGCGGAATCTACTGCCGCATTTCCTGTTGAACATATGTTAGATGACTTACAGTTTTTTAAAATGTGCGTAGCGGATTCTTCAGCCTGCGTTTCCCGTTGTTACTGTCAGGAAACTGACTAGATTATTAACTTTTCAGTTAACGCCCCAAACCCTCGACCGCGCTTACTTCATGTAGTCCTATCCACCTCGGAGGAACGCAACGCGCTGTCGCGGTTTGCTTTCAAACTGAAGATTACTAATGCTAGCGTTCAGCCAGACCATTTAGCGGATAGGCTGAAGCTGAGGCCTTCAAGGACCTCAAAACCAAGCGAGTGGCTGCTGAACAAGGTCTCCGCTTGGTGTGTCTTCAGGTGGTCAGCCGGCGGTCCTTTTCCACCCTACCAATGTCAGTCCTGGTAGCGCCCGACCCGGGGTTGGACATAACGAATACTTTCAGATAGTGCTAAGCAATGTGCGCAGCCTAAGGAATAAGATGTGAGGTAGGTCTGCCTGTAGATGTGTCTCATCCAGATATACTCGCATTCACTGAAATGTGGCTGTCTCAGGACATCACGGACAGTGAAGTACATCTGTCTGGCTACGCACTAGCTAGATGTGATCGCTTCGTTGGCCGACAAGGCGGGGACGTTGCGCTTTACATTAGCTGTGGACTTGACGTTTTGCTTACTTACATATTTCAATCGGCAGACAAAACTGTCGAAACTTAAAGTCAACTTACAGTTGTATTTGTGTATAGAAACCCTGGGAGAGCGTCCAATGAGGTGCCTGACTTCGCTCCTAATCCACATACAGGTGTTTGATACTGGGTGACTTCAATCTACCGGAATTTCGCTGGGCAGTTCTTCATTGCAACTCGACGGAAGATACTTTCTTACCAGATCCTCTTGAGCTTACGCTACTAGTACCGTTGCATCAGTTCTTGGACCTCCCCACTAGGTACATGGATGCTCAAGTACCGTCTATTTTGGATCTAGTTTTTGCCAAGTCGCTAGACTTCGTAGGTGACATCACAACTCTTCCTTAGGTGCCAGTGATTATCTGTTTATCTGTGCTCTGACCAGACGTCACCAGAGCATCACTGAACCATATCCAAACGTATGGCGTGCTAACTACCTGTCAATACGTATCAAGGCTTCTGGGTTGCGTTTCGAAATCTTAGTGGCCGATACGGTTCAGACGGCCTGGGATAAATTTATGTTTACAGAAGAGTAGTAGGGGGAGTTGAATGGTATATAAAATAAATAAATAAATAAATTTGTATATTTACCGACGGACGGTACACGGCCCCATAAGTGGGAGCGATCATGTCTTATCTTACGGAAGTGTCCACCCCGACATCCCGCTCGCGAGGAGAAATGAGACACGAGCACGGCTCCCATCGATAGATGTCACTGGCTAGTACCTGCTACAGAAACGTTCAAGGTGATGGAGGACCTGCCGTGCGTTTCCATCAACTATCACCTATGATAGGTACCGCGAAGCTAGAAATAGATGTAAAAAACACTTGAGGAAAGCTCGGCTGTTGTACGAAGAGGAATTGGCCGATGTAGCTTCGGAAAATCCGAAATTCTTCGCTTATGTTAATAGGCGCTTTGGTTCAAATTCGGTAATTCCAACTTTAATGTGGGCCGATGGAACTCATGCGTATGCGGACTCGGACAAAGCTTGTGTACTTGGTGAGCAGTATGCAGGGGCTTTTGTACATGAGGCTGCGTTGACTAGCGCTGAACTTGTCCCCAGAGTCCCTGTGGGTTCTTATTTAGTTGAATTTACTGTGGTGGAAACGCAACCCCTTCAGATGCTGCAAGAACTGAACACTACTAAAGCAGCTGGATCTGATTCAATTCACCCGAAGCTTCCGCATGATTTGGCGGCGGAACTAAGTGGACCGCTGACGGTGGTGTTTTAGTAGTCACTTGACAGCTATACATTACCTTCTGAATGGAAGGAAACTTGTCTGTCTAATCTTCAAAAATGGCGATGGGAGTCTCTCAGCCATTTATAGGTCAGTCATTCTGACTACCGTCGTGGTCAAACTGCTTGGAAAGTTCGTGAGAGATACGTTGGATCATCATCATCATCATCATCATCATCATCATCATCATCATCATCATCATCATCATCATCATCATCATCATCATCATCATCATCATCATCATCATCATCATCATCATCATCATCATCATCATCATCATCATCATCATCATCATCATCATCATCATCATCATCATCATCATCATCATCATCATCATCATCATCATCATCATCATCATCATCATCATCATCATCATCATCATCATCATCATCATCATCATCATCATCATCATCATCATCATCATCATCATCATCATCATCATCATCATCATCATCATCATCATCATCATCATCATCATCATCATCATCATCATCATCATCATCATCATCATCATCATCATCATCATCATCATCATCATCATCATCATCATCATCATCATCATCATCATCATCATCATCATCATCATCATCATCATCATCATCATCATCATCATCATCATCATCATCATCATCATCATCATCATCATCATCATCATCATCATCATCATCATCATCATCATCATCATCATCATCATCATCATCATCATCATCATCATCATCATCATCATCATCATCATCATCATCATCATCATCATCATCATCATCATCATCATCATTACACGTTAGCTGGAGGTGGAAAACACCTTAGCTATTGTGCCGCAATACAAAATAAAAGAAAAGGAAAAACAGTGGCACGCCCGCTGAGTCCCCAGTAACGGATGGACATCGTTCCGGAGAGCTAACAGCTGGCTGCCGTAAAAAGAGAATCATATTATGCCTAACAGATGATATCGTGATTGGAGGGGGATACTAAACAGGAGGGGGATGGGCAAAGGAAATCACAACACAAACGCCATTGGTGCCGGCTCCGAGCCATATCAGCAAGTGTGTCCAACCAAACGTGTTCACCGTCCTTAGGACCCCAGCCAGGCAGTCGGTATGCACCAACCGACGCCAACTTTGAAGTGAGGGTTTTCATTTCTCTCGACCAAGTCATCACTTGGCCTCCCCTCCTCCTCTTCCAACCGCACCCACAACGCGCAAACAATGCACGTCGCGGGAGTCGGTGTGCTGGCATGCGCAACACGTGGCCCAACCATCGGAGCCTGGTGCGTGATATGATGGTGCTGAGCGGTTCATTCGCTCTGCCTGCACCAAACACGCGACGTCGAACACGCTCATTGCTCACGCGGTGTTCCCACCAGACATGAGCTAAGCTGCGAAGGCAGCGATGATCGAATGTGACGAGTCTCTTCATGTCAGTCGACCTGATGGGCCAGGTTTCACAACCATATAAGAGAGTAGAACGGACGGCTGCGTTGTAAACTCTGCCTTTCAGGGCGAGAGTAATGTCGCGTTTGCGCCACAGGTGGCGGAGATTGGCAAAAGCACCTCGAGCTTTTGCTATGCGGTTCATAACCTCATCTTCAATCCCACGGGTGCTAATATAGCTGCCCAGGTACTTGAATTCCTGAACGACTTCTAGCAGATCACCACCAAGCGTTAGCGCAGGGTTGGGTCCCTGCCAATCTTGGAGAAGTACTTTGCATTTCGATGGAGCAAAGCATAGCCCAAAACGATTGACAGCCAGTGCTAATTGGTCCAGTGCTATTTGGCATGTTTGGAGGCTGTCACAGATTAGGGCAATATCGTCCGCATACTCCAAGTCAAGAAGTCGCTCACCAGGAAGTAGCTCCACACCATCTAGGTCGTGTCCAGCGAACGCTGTTTCCATGACTTCATCAATAGCGAAGTTGAAGAGGAAAGGTGACAGCGGGCATCCTTGTCTCACACCGCTGGTGATACTGAAGGGTGGCGAGAGTTTGCCCTAAACCCTCACCCTGCCCGAACTATGCGCGTACAGCGCTTTGATAATGTTTACATATTTATCAGGCACACCTTTCTTCAGCAGACAGTCCCAAAGGGCACATCGATCGACCGAATCGAAGGCACCTTTTATGTCAAGAAACACGACAACGGTGGGTCGCCAATAAACATGGCGGTGCTCCAACACTTGACGCAATGTGAAGATGTGGTCGATGCAGCCCCGACCTCGACGAAATCCGGCTTGCTCTTCACGAATCTGGCTTTCACGAGTGCCAGTCAGTCTGTGGAGAATGAGAGAGGCAAGCAATTTAGAGGCAATCGAAATCAGACTGATCCCTCTATGATTGCCACATTCTAAACGGGAGCCTCCCTTGAAAATTGGGACAATGACGGAGCGGTTCCAGTCTGTCGGGACTGTCTCCTGCTTCCAAAGTCTTACTAGCAACTCGTGTAGATCATCTACTAGAGCAGGTCCCCCGAATTTGAAGAGGGCTGGGGGAATTCTATCTGCTCCTGCGGCCTTATGCAATTTCAACAGCCGGATCTCACGTTCGACCTCTGCGCGTGAGGGCGGATCCGAGGAGACGGCCCAAGGAGAAGGGCGCTCAATGCCCGAAGAAGAAAGCGATAACTCAGGTTTGTTAAATTGCCTTGCAAAGTGTTCGGCCCAACGCTCCAAGCGTTTTGACAAGCTGTGGATCGGCTGCCCACTCTCGTCGCGTATGGTCTCGCTAACACCAGGTCTCCTGCTGCCTGTTTCCCGTATCAGACGGAATAACTTACGATGATTACCCACGGCAGCGGCTGTTTTCATCTCAGAGGCACGATGAGACCAACAGGTTTCGCGATCCTTCTTCAGGCTAGCACGTAGTTTTGCCCTGACATTTTTGCGAGCCTCATTGTATTCGCTTCCAGCCGGAATACGTCGGCGAGCATCCA